CTGCCACCCCTGCATCCAATGATTTAGTGACCTGGTCGTAAAAGGCCACCAGGTTGGTCTGACAGGACCTGCCACTGATGAACCCGTGCTGGTTGCCCCTGAGCATGCAGTTCCCTGCTGGCCCCTCCTGGATGTGTGCCAGAATAATTTTCTCGAACAGCTTGCCCAGGATCGAGGTAAGACTTCTGAAGAGCTGCATGTGGCTACAGAGCCACAGGTTGGCCACCCCTGGTATAAGTATTTATACTGTGCCCACAACCATAATATTAGAGTACCTTCCATTTAAAAAGAAAAAAACAAAAAAACTATACATCTAGTACCCTTGGAAAACATACCAAGCTGACACATTTAAATTGAAGAAGACAACACATACAATTAGTACAGCAATTTAATCTACAATCTCCAATTTTTAGAGTCAAATGGATGTAGTAAAGTCACCCATGAGTTTCTATTTAAGTTAGGAACTCAAGGTGGATTTTGTTATTGGTAGAAGTAAACAATCTTCTAAGAGGCTACCATAAACAATAAGCTCTTTGGGGAAACCTTTCATGGTAATGGGTAAAAGGAAAGAGAAAACCCTCAGAAAAGGCTTTTCTCTCAAAAGACAGACTGATAAAGGTGGTTAGAGAAAGGCTCAGAGGACCTAAATAAAAAAGGCTGTTGCCAACCAGAAAGGATTCAGGTAAGAGCTGCAAGAATGATTCAGAAGTTATGCCTTATAGGAGAAATTAAAGAAGTTCTATCCAAAAGAAGAGGAAAGTTGTCAAGGTTTGCAATTTTCTGCATGGAAAAAATAGTTGCAAGTGTAAATTGTTTTTTAGCAAAAAAAAGGGACAATGGAAACCAACGGCTGAAAGTTGAAGCTAGATAAAGTTCAAGCAAGGCACAAACATTTTAATATTTAGGGTGATTAACATCTAAAACATTTTCACTCAGGATCCTACATATCTTAAAGTCTTTAAAGAAAGCTTGGATGTTTTTTCTCAAAGATATACTGTTGCTCAAGTAAAGACTACTAACTTTATGCAGAAAATGGCAAGGGATACCTTGTTCTCTGTTATATAGAATATCAGACTTGTTGTTCAAAACAGTCCTTTTTGCAATCTAGGAATGTAAGCAGATCAAAAAAGATGTCCAAAATAAATATTTCCCATTTTTCAATAAAATGGGACCCATTTGGCGAATAAAAGTAATGCCTTTTTGAGCAATTTTAATCCATAGGAATCCCATCTAAATATATATTCTCTAAAATGAAGCAAGGTTCATTGCAAAAATGCTTAGAGATCTCTTCAGTGAAAAGCCCTGGATACATGCAGAGTTCAAACTAAAGAACAAAATCTCCATTCCATTTCCTGCATGACAATGGACACATCACTTATACCAATTTAAGAACATAAAAGCAAGCACCCCAAGAACTAAACTGTACTTTGTCTACCTCCAGCATCAAGGAGGCATTCAACATAGGTCTGCCTGTATCAACATTTCTTTCTCCTAGGCTATAAACAAACACCACATTTCTGTAAGGAGATTCCATTTTCTTTTGGGACAAATTATGATCAGTCAGACGTCTGTTTCCATTGCCCCAGGACAGACCCCAAAAAGATTTGTGGGATAAAATCCAGTAGGGGTTTGTACTTGGTGATCTGTCAAGGTCCCTTCCGACCCTAAAAATCTATGAAGCCTATGAAACAGCTTACCCCAGGACACTGCTAAGTGCATCTGATCAGAGATCTTGGATTTGCATCATTGGATCAATGGCAGAAAACAAGCTGCATGTTCAGTTGCTCACTAAATCCTGACCAGAAGGGCAAAGTGGGTACATACCAATCCTATGACTTCTCTGTTCCCGGACAGATAGGCACAGCTGGTCTGGGAACAAATGTGATGTCTGTTCATAACCCTGTACTCCTCGCCGCTGGTATCGTGCCCCAAGAGGTACGTTTTGCTTCCAAAACATTTCATTAGGAAGCACTTAGAAGTCTCCCAGGAAGGATTCTCAGTTACGCAGGAATTGTGTGGCTTTCCATTCATTTCAATGGGGAATTTTAGTCTCTGCTAAGACGCATTGAAATTGTCACGATTCCGTTTCTCCCTGACTGTGTTTTAGCAGTGCTGAACAGATGGATGATGTTGTGGACAACTGCTTCTCTCCAAACACTAGAAAGAGGATGCTCCTCTTCTTCCTCCTCTTCAGATTAGTATCCAATGGTCTCCTATTGTGATCTATGGCCATCTGCCCTTTCAAGGATTTCTGTACAATTTCTGCATGCCCATGGTATAGTTAAACCATAATGGAGCAAAACTGGAGTTAAGCACCTGTGGTTCAGTGCTGAATCAAGTCTGAGCATGCAAACTTAGTGGCATAGAGCAAAAACCATAGGCACAGAAGGAATTTAAACATCTCATAAACCAAAACCAAATGCTTCTGTTTGATTCTGATGTTAAAAATGCACATCATTTATGTGTCTTAGCATCGAAGAGGCAGGTATCCAGGTTGTAGCCATATTGGTCTAGAGGAAAAAGCAATCAGGACTCGAAGTAGAGATGATATCTTTTATTAGATTAACAAGATTTTTGCAAAAACAAATCTTTAATTGCAAGTTTTCAGGCACAAATACCCCTCATCAGGCATTGAAAAAACATTACAAAAGTTCTCCTGAGTAGAAATGAAAGTTCATATTTCATAGGATATCACAGAAGAGTCAATAGATAGAAAACTCCTCTGGGCAGAAAGTGATATCCTATGAAATATGAACTTTCATTTCTACACAGGAGAACTTTTACAATCTTTTCTCCAGTGCCTGATGAAGGGTGTTTTTGCCCGAAAGCTTGCAACTAAAGAATTTTTTTTGCAAAAATCTTGGTCTAAAAAAAGATATCATCTCTACTATGAGTCCTGATTGCTTTTAGCATCGAAGTAGAATTTTGCCCAAAATCCGTATGTAGGCAATTAAATAAATTCTCGAGCCAAAATTTCCAAACAGTCAGTTATTTTGATTGCCCAACTTGAACCACACAAGGTCTCATCTCCAGCAGTGTTGAGAACCCACAAACCTCTTGAATTGTGCCCAGAGTCTCATTATCAAACTGAGCCACTTAAAAATTAGCAGCAGCTTTTTATCTCACATCTCAAATCAGGCCACTTTACATGCCTAAATATGGATGTAGGCATCAAATTGGAGGCAGCTGGATTTGAAAACATTAACAATATCACCCTGTGTGTCTCTTGTCTCTCTGTAAACTGGGATAGAAAGCTGGGCTTAAATTCAGCAGTATTTTAAAAATATTTACAAATCCTGAGGAAATTCTACACAAATACATACAAATTGATGACTTTTTTAAATTATCAATTCACAGAAAAAAAAATCTTTTTTTTAAACTAAAGCCACTGAAATGCCTTCAAGGGATGTGTCTAAACCCTACCCCAAGCTTATGAAAATCAGTCACGCACAAGAGAGAACAGGTATACTTGTGATGCTACCAATTAAAATAGAACATCTCTTTCAAAGGACTGAGTCTTAGGAATTCACTTATAATTCTTATGCTAATACAGATTTTATTTGAATTGTTCAAAGCATATATTACAATACCTAAATTACAGGCCAGGATGCATTTTGATATGCCGTTTCTCTAAGCAGTAGTTACTGTAATGAGCAATATTCTGGAATATATTACTCATGCCAAGTACAGTACAATTTGATTATATCCTTGCATTGTAAAATGCTAGAAGTCAGTGGTATTTGGCATGACAAAAATACACTTGAATTCATTTTAAATGACATGGAACAGAAAATCTGGCATTATGTGAAACTCCAAGCATGAAGGGCTCATGTTTTTTCAATGGGCGAGGGAGTGTGGTCCTCTAAGGAGTTTGTTTCAGTGTTTAGCAGAGAAGATTCTGGATTCAGCTCCTGAGTCTGCCACGATGCCCATGATTCACTTTATGATCTTGAACATTTTGGTTGAACTTCAATTAGTTCAACTATCTCTAAAATAAGTCTAATGCCTTCTTGTGAGCAAAGGAATGCTCCTTAAGATGTTCCTTAGATGAAAGGCTCTGTATATAGAGTTTAACTTGTTAAACAATATTGAAATATTAACATCTCCCAACTCTCAGTGATACAGAGTCTGATCAGCTCACATATGGACCCATTGGTTTCATTAGGAGCCGGATTCAACTCATAAAATGTTTTGAGTGAGATTTTCATTGTTGACCCAACTCATTTCTCATCTAAGTCAATCCCTGCTGAATTCAGTGACCTAAGCACGTTTGGATCTCTGTTCCTCGTGGAAATGAGGTAAGCATTCTCTTTAAAAGGGTCTGATACTGTAAAGAGCTATAGCCCTCAGCTACCATGGATGTGACCTCAGCTCCCATGGATTTTACCTGGCTGTGAAGGCCACTCTAGCATTTTTCAGGGAAGGTTATGTAACTGGAAACACTGAATATGGTGTCACCCTTGGGATCAGCAATACTTAATTCTTCCTTCCATCTTTCAGGGCTCTTTGAAACAAGGCTGGTGTAAAGGGTGACTGGATGGGGTGCACATTCAGAAAGTGGTCTGGTGGTACTTGTTTCATTTATCACATCAATTAGCACTCCTTCCTTCTTTTGGGAGTCTTGTCATTATGGTAATTGTTAGCTTCAAAACAATCTAATGCACACAAAGTTATGTAGCATTAGTCTAAGCCATGACATGAGTCAGTATGTAGTAATATGCTAATACAATATCTCCATTGATTTTCTAAGCTATTCCACTGTAATACATTTAGTAAATTAATAACCCTTGCCAATATGTGCCAGATCAGCTACACTACAGCAATATGATCAAGAAAAATGAACAAAATGATTAAATGAATACAATATACAATAGCAATGTGATTAGGCTATGCTAGAACTAAATTAAATGATCTTGCAGCATTTTTTAAATGACCGCACCATAGCTCTCTATCACTTCATGCCTTAATAGTGCTTTGCTGGTTTCGAATATCATAACTTTCATACCAGCTGAAAAGTCATGGAATATTCATATTTTGGAATTACTTTGTTCAACAAATTTGGAAATAAATTGCACCCTCTGGCAGAGATGTCTATGAACAGAAAGGCAAATGGATCACCTTTGAAATCTTTTTCTTCTCTTGCTCAGGCCTGATGTAATGTACCTATAACCCTAGGTTTTAAGAGCCATAACACAGGAAAAAGAGGAGCAATGAAATGAAAAAATGGCACTAGTACAGATAAAAGGAAATACGTTCCACTCAACACAATGAAATGATGGGGTTCACTGGCTGTGTCTACACAAGATACTTACAGTGCAATAACTTGTTACTACTGCATAGTAACGTTACCAGGCTGTAACTATGATCCAACATTACTGCACAGGAGTGCTATGCGATGCTTTGGTAGCCGATTCAATTCAGAGGAAATTTGGCCTGATTCAGTGGCCATATCTCTGAATCCAAATTGAATCAGGAGACCAATTCAAAGGTCCAAATCAAATCAGAAGCCTCCGAATCAATTCAGAAAAGTTTTGGCGTTGCTTCAGAGATTCGGTCATAGACTAAACAGGCAGCAGTCCTCATCATGCTGGACACAGCTGCTGCCGGTTGGTAAGTCTGTTCTGGTAGGAGGAGGCAAGAGGAAAGGGTCGTTGGGGGGGGGGGGAATCAACACCCCCACCACGAGGGAGAGATTGGGGCTGGGGCTGGGGCTGGGACAAGCTTTCCAGCCAGGGCTGGGTGGCACAAGACTCTGGGAGACACGTAGGGGGGCAAGGGATGTGGGCACAGCAACACTGGGAACAGGGGCTCTGCCCTGCTGCCACTTGCTCCCTTCTGCCTGGAGCAAGCCATGCCCACGTTGTGCCCCCTGCCCCAGCTAGGCAAGCGGCAGTATAGCATAGCCCGCTGCTTGTCCAGCCAGGGCAGGAGGTCATGGGATGCAGGTGCTGCTGCTGCTTGTCCAGCCGGGGCAGTGGGGTGCAGGATACAAGCATGGCAGTGCTGGGAGTGGCGGGCTATGACCTGCTGCCGCTTGCCTAGCTGGGGCAGAGGGCATGATGCAGGATGTGGGTGTGGCAGCACTGGGAGCAGGGGCTATGCCCTACTGCCTCTTGCTCCCTTCTACCTGGAGTGAACTGTGCCTGCATCATGCCCTCTGCCCCAGCTGGGCAAGCAGCAGCAGGGCATAGCCCCCGTTCCCAGTACTGTTGTGCCTGCATCCCACCCCCACCCCCGCCCCCCCC